TATATATATATATAGGATTAGTAGCTCTAGTGTGTTTTATAGTAGTGTGGATCTTATATAGGATTAAAAGCTCCAATATGTTTTCCATTAGTGAGGATCTTATATAGATATAGTACCTCCAATGTGATCTTCTATAGAAGTATTAACTCCAACGTGTTTTCCATGAGTGAGGATCTTATATAAGAGTATAAGCTCGCCCCCCCCCCAGTGGACAGCGGTATGTCTGCGGACTTACAACGCTAGAAACCGGGTTTAGATACCCGTGGTGGGCAGAGCACAGATAGCCCTTCGTGTAACTTTGTGCTTAATTAAAAACAAACAAGTGGAAGCTCCAAAGTGCGCTATGTCGCCGCGTTTTTTTATTGTTTTTTTTTAGGCAGAAGTAGAAGCTCCAATGATGGAATTAAGATTGTTGATTGTTTTGTGGTAAAAACGATTGGAAAATTTCATTATTTCGATAAATGTGAAGAAAGAAAAGATTTGATTCAGAATAAAGGTGGTTGTTCTGGAAACCATTGGTGATACGAATAGTGAGGCTTGGATGACCTGGTTCTGTATGCTGAGCTTTTAGTTTCTTGGAATAATGAATTTATATTGTTGGTTCTACATTAAGTTCTCGGGACAAAGTTTTTTCAAGGTAAAAGGAACGTGTTGAAGAAATTGTGAAACAGAAGAATTCAAAATTATCAAGTTTAGTAATAATTTTAAGTTTGTTTGTTTTTGAATTTCGCGCAAAGCTACTCGAGGGGCTATCTGCGCTAGCCGTCCCTAATTTAGCAGTGTAAGACTAGAGGGAAGGCAGCTAGTCATCACCACCCACCGCCAACTCTTGGGCTACTCTTTTACCAACGAATAGTGGGATTGACCGTCACATTATAACGCCCCCACGGCTGAAAGGGCGAGCATGTTTGGTGTGACGGAGATTCGAACCCGCGACTCTCAGATTGCGAGTCGAGTGCCGTAACCACCTGGCAATGCCGGGCCATAATTTTAAGTGACAAGAGGTTGTTATAAAGTAAGGGAAATGAAATGATGAAGTGTCAAGAGGGATGAAGGTTTTATATTAACGGCAACCTCTTTATAAGTCAACAAATTTACATCTAACACATTAGTTTTTGAAAGAATAGCGCAAATATTATTGTAAAATCTTGTGTAATTTTTGAACACTTAAGACTAATCTCAACTGAGAAGGATTTGGGAACATAAGTTATTTTAAGAGATAGATAAAGTGATAGTTT